ATGCTGGGTCTACCAAGGAAAGACTATACTGCCTATAAAAATGGCAAAAATGTTAATAGACCACCTCCATAAGCTGACTCATCTAAGCGCCAAAAATATGAAAACTTTGCTAGATAGACAAGAAATTGGAACTTACCTTCCCAATCGGAATTTATTACTGGAACAAGTAACTGCTAACTGTCTGGCCTGTGCCCAGATAAACCAAGGAAAAACCAAACTGAATTCTGGGACCCGGCTTTGTGGCGATAGGCCTGATGTCCATTGAGAAATAGACTTTACTGAAGTCAAACCTGGAATATATGGTTATAAATATTTACTGGTTTTTATAGACACCTTTTCAGGATGGATAAAAGCGTTTCCTACCAAACATGAGACTGCAAAAATGGTCACCAAGAAACTATTAAAAGAAATCTTTCCCAGATATGGGATGCCACAGGTAATAGAATCAGACAATGGGCCTGCCTTCGTCTCCCAGGTAAGTCAGCTGGTGGCCAGGTTGCTGGGGATAAATTGAAAATTACATTGTGCTTACAGACCCCAGAGTTCAGGACAGGTAGAAAGGATAAATAGAACCATTAAGGAGGCTTTATCCAAATTAACGCTTGAAACTGGCTCTAAGGACTGGGTACAACTCCTATCTCTGGCTCTCTATTGGGCCAGAAACACTCCAGGCCCTCATGGCCTAACTCCCTTTGAAATACTATATGACAGTCCACCGCCAGCTGTATCATTCTTTGATGCTGACATTTCTGATTTTGCAAACACCCCTTCCATACAGGTGCATCTATGAGCCTTACAGATAGTCCAAGAAGAGGTCTGGAAACCTCTGGCGGCCGCATCCCGGGAGGAACAAAGAACCTCTTGTCAGCCCCACTCTTTCCAGATTGGCGATTCTGTCTGGGTTCGGAGACATCAGACTAAGAACTTAGAGCCCCGCTGGAAGGGCCCCTACACTGTGCTCCTGACAACTCCCACCGCCCTGAAAGTAGACAGGATTGCTGCCTGGATGCATTTTAAATAAACTGGTACTGTTCAAAAATACACACACACACACACTTGTCAGTTGTTCAGGCCCTAGTTTTGACCCAGCAGTACCAGCAATTAAAACAAATGAAAACTGAAAAACCATGAATAAAGGGTTTTATTCATTTTATAGAAAAAGGGGGGAATGAAAGACCCCCACTATGCTTATTGCCTGTTTAAATTGCTCTTGCTAATTTGCCAAGGTCAAGTTATGAGAAAAGTACAGGAGGGAACCAGGTGCTGCTCTCATCCAACGCAACCAGATATCTGTGGTCTGCAGCTTGGACCAAAGCAAGGTCAGCAGGACAGTGTCCAGTATGCTGAGATAGTCATAACTGAATTCTTTGTATTCTTTGTGCCCAACCCGAATAACCAACTGTCCTTGGTTAACTACAACTGCAACATTTAGATGAAACAATGAAATCCCTGTAACCATGCTTCTGCTTCTGTAAGCCTGCTTCTTGCCACCCCAACCCTATATAAACTGCCTGAGTTTTAACCTCAGCACGCTCAGTCCCCCCGAAAGACTGGAAGCGTCCACAGGTACCTGTGTAAACAATAAACAACCTCTTGCACTTGCATCCAGTGGTCTGGTCTCGTCTCTTGGGGGCAAGGGCCTTCCCCCTGACAGGCTCCAAACTCTTGGGGTCTCTGGGGGTCTTTCAATGCCATGGCCAAAAGCAATTTGGAGAGGAAAGGATTTGTTTTATCTTACATTTCCAGGTAAATTCATCACTGAGGGAAGTCAGGGGAGGAACTCAAACAGGGCAAGAACCTGAGACAGAAGCTGATACAGAGGCCATGGAGGATGCTGCTTACTGGCTTGCTTTCTATGGCCTGCTTAGACTGCTTTCTTATAGCACCTAGGACCACCAGCCCAAGGGATGACACCATCCATCATGGGCTAGGTCTTTCCACATCAATCATTGATGAAGAAATTGTATGATAGGCTTGCTTGCCCACAGGTCAATCTGGTGTGGGTATTTTCCCAGTTGAAGTTCCCTATTCCAAAATAACTTCCAGCTTGTGTCAAGTACACAAGCCAGCACACTACTTCCCTTAGTTACTTTCTATTTTTGTGATAAGATAGCATAACCAAGGAAACTTACAGAGGAGTTTTTTTTTTTTTTTTTTTGAGCTAATAATTGCAAAAGGTTAAAGTTCATGACCATTACCGTAGGGAGCATGGCAGCAGGAATCAGGCATGGTCTGGAGCCATAACAGAGAGCTCACACCTTGAGACCTATGAGGCAGAAAGAGACTCTGGGAAAGATGAAAATCTATCAAAACCTCAAAGCCCAACCCCAGTGACACACCTCCTCCAACAAGGACACACCTCCTAATCTTTCCACCAACTGGAGACCAAGTATTAGAATATATGAGCCTATTGGGACCATTCTCGTGCAAACCATCACACTTCTGGAAGGCTGTTAGGTCATCGTGGCGCTGTTCTTGGATGGACTTAGTGTATTTATTTCCTTTGTGGGCTGGGGTTAGAACACAGGGGCCAATGCTTGCTCAGGAAGAGAGCTCTACCACACACTCCTACATAGTCATACTTGCAGTTTTTTATGAGAAAGGCTTATTATAAAAAAGACTGTGCCTCACCTCCAAAATCTCTAGTTTTCTGGCATATATTCTTGTCATTATGATTCCCCATGTCAAGAGGCTACCACAAGAGGTAGCACAGATGTGGCCACCTGATCCAGGACTCCAGTTTCCAAAACCAAGCTAAAAAGACCTACGCTCAGGTATTTTGCTATAGTGTAGAAAATAGATCAAGATGTCTTCTTCTTAGGTAGGTACTACAGCTAGAAATTTGGAAGAATTCTTACATTTTTCAGAGTTGTATATGACGTGTAACCCCAGCACCCTGGAGGCAGAAGCATGAAGATCAGCCACAAGTCTGAGGCTAGCCTGATCTATACCGAGTTTGGGGACAGTTAAAGGCAAGGTAATGAGACCCTATGTGAAACAAACAAATGCACACATTTTCTTTCTTCCTTCCTTCCTTTCTTTTTTTTTTTTTTTTTTTTTTTTTTTTTTTTTTTTTGTTTTGTTTTGTTTTCTTTTTTTCCGGCTGACTTCTGCCAGTTCTAGGATTTTGTCTGTGGGTCCTAAAGTAAATGGTATGTCCTAAAATCTCCTGGCTAGTTCACCAAATAGGAGAGGAAAAGTTTTTATCCCTCTGTGGTTTAAATGATAAATATATATAATTATATAGGGATGCATATATGAATGAATATAGTTTTTGGTATTTGGATACTTGATTCCTGGTTGATGGAGCTGATCAGGAAGGATTAGGAGGTGTGACCTCCTGGAGGAAGTATGTCACCAGGGGCAGGCTTTGAGAGCTTAAGGCCTCAACTTACTTCCAGGGGCTCTCTCTGCTACCTGCCTATGGTTCAAAGTGTGAGCCTTCAGCATCCTGCTCCCCGCCTTCTGTCTGCTGCCAGCTTCCCTGCTGTGATGAACCTTCTGGAACCTTAAGCCCAAATAAACCCTTCCTTCTATAATTTGCTTTGGTCATGGTCTTTTATCACAGTAATAGGAAGTAACGGATATAATCTCATGTTCATAATTAGGAATATATCTGTAAGAAATAGCAGGTTAAACTGGGTACGGTGGCTCATACCTATAATTCCAGCATTTGGAAGTTGAGGTAGGGGGATTACCACTTGTTTGAGTCCAAAAAGTCTCTGAACTATCTGTCTCATGGAGTGGGGGGGGTTAAATCCAATCAGATGTTGGTTGGTTACTCCCACACGCTCTGTGCCACCATTGCACTAGCAGAGCTGGTCCATTTTAAACCTCACCTTAGGTAATTTTGGAGTTACTAGCATCAAAGTCTGTATGAATTTTCTCTTGTGCAGTTTTGATTCCCCAGAATAGTTCTCTAATCTTCTGCTTAGGTGACAGAAGCACCCAACTGCCAGTCAAATATAAAACAATTCTATTAGGGCCAGGAGGGGCAGTTACAGCACTTGAACCTGCCCTAAGCAGAGAAACTGACGCCTCAACCTTTCCCACATGACTTTAAATTGTAGACACTTGGAATTGGAAGGGTCCTTGTCACTGATATGATTTGGCTTTATCACTTGACTTCAAAATCAAGTTATTCAACAAAAGAGTAGCTCAATCTACTTTTTAATGATTTTAGTAATGGATAACTCACAGACAGATTGTCCCAATTTTTGTCAGTCCGTAGAATCTTTAGGATAAATAAAAACATAAAATTAAAAATAAGTAAGTAAAAGAAGTCTGAGTTACAGAGTGAGACCCTGTCTCAGAAAAAAAGCAGGGCTGGAAACATGGCTCAGAGGCTGAGAGTGTGTTCTGCTCTTCCAAAAGACCCAACTTCAGTTCCTATCCCTCATTTGGCAAGTTCCTATAACTCCAGCTCTGGATTCCACGGATACTTGCACTCATGTATACATACTGGCCTCACCCCCTACATAAAAACCTACAACGGGCACATTTTAATGGTGACATGTTGGAAACATTCTCTTTAAGCAATATGACATCAGTGCCTGAATGGTTGCTGTTGACAGGTCTTTCACAATTGCACTGCAGGTCTTAGGGAGCACAGAAACCAAACAAAATTTATAGCCATTGAAAATATATAATGTAGCATGGTACTTAGTGTTAGAACAACATATTATATATATATGCTATTGATGTAGATATAACTTTAAAATGCTTCATAGTAGCAGCAGAAATAGGAAGTGAGAGAATAAATCTAATTAAAAATGAGATTATTAATATAAAAATACTGTACAACCTTATTGAAATACAGTTAAAGACATAGAGATACTCCTTTATGTATAGGAAGGCTTTATCATAAAAGGGCCCACTTTTCCTAGTCAAATCCATAAACTTGATGTAACTCCAATAAAAGTATAGACTTTCCCTTGGCACCTGACAGTATGAATAAACAGTGCAGAGGAGTAGGGATGAAGAAGAGGTAGAGTGGTTTGGATAAGCAAGAAGAGTGGGAAGAATTGATCCACAGGGTATTAAAACCTTTTTATTTATTTTTATTTTATGTGCATTGGTATTTTGCTATGGATGTTGGGTTTACAAGAACTGAAATTACAGACAGTTGTGAGTGACCATATGGGTGCTGGGAATTGAACCTGGGCCCCCTGGAAGAGCAGTCAGTGCTTTTAACTACTGAGCCATCTCTCCAGTCCAGTATTAAAGCTTTAAAAAACACTGTAGCACTAACACAGGGTATACTTGAAAGAGACTAGAGACCATCAATAGACACATACATGACAGTATGGGACGGCAGTAGCTGGGTCTGATAGCACACACCTATGTGCAGACAGATCACTATGAGTTTGAGACCAGCCTGGTTTACATAGTAAATTCTTGGCCAGCCAGGAATACATAGTGAGATCTTATCTCAAACAAACAGAAAACAACAGTTATCTGTGGGGTTAGGATAGATCACCGAGTAACTGATGGAAACCAAGAGAAAAGAATTGGATTTCTGACTTGAAAACCAATAACAAGCCAGGCATGATATCTTATAATGCCTAAAATCCCAGCATTTGAGAAGCTGAGCTAGAAGGATCTCAAGTTAGTTTGTGGTCAGTCTGGACTACAAACCCTGTTTTAAAAAACCAAAAAGAAAACAAGTAATACAAAAGCAAAACAGCCCCAACTGGAATCAAGATCTAAATATGAACAGAAATACTTTGGGAGAAAATATAACCAACTTTCTTCTTTTCAAGATTCAATGTAGAAGGTAGGGATAAGACAGGGAGAATTTTGTAAGGCACACTACAGCTTCAGAGAGTATTTTATATTAAGATGAAAATGTAACATTATCATTTTTAAAAACCCTCATAAAGTAGAGGTTTATAACTAAATGTTTAGGGGGAAAGTACCTGAAATTTGTTTTAAAGTGATCTTAGAGCAGTGGTTCTCAACCTTCCTAATGCTGTGACCCTTTAGTACAGCCAGCCCTTATGTTGTGGTGACCCCCAACCATAAATTTTCATTGCTACCTCATAACTATAATTTTGCTACTGTTATGAATCATAAGTACCTGACATACAGATTATCTGATATGTGACCCATATGAAAGCATTGTTTAACCCACAGGCTAAGAACCACTGACCTAGAACAAAAGGAAACTCACAAGAGACAGATACATCAACATGGACATACCTCAGAAACATGTCGAACAAAGGAAACATACACTGTGATGCAATTTGCATAAAAGATAAAGTCAAAAATAAATAACATTTTTCTGGAGTGCATTTATCTATAGAAACTTCATACAAAAAAGGCTCAAGTGGTTATTGTTGTTAGGAAACATGGGGGGGCCTGGAATTCAAAACACAAAAGAAACAAGCATGTTGGGAATAAGGTTTTTCTTATTGTATTTTCTATATTAAAGTGGAAGGTGCATGAGTGTGGTATAGTAGTATCCTTTAGAATATTTTGTATTTAACCAAAGAAATCATAATTTAAAAATTGTTTTCAGTAAAGGGACATGGCAAAAAGAGGCTCAAGGTACACATCAGGGAGACCATGACAACTGACCATGTCATTGGTCTTATTGAGAATATGGGTGACACCTTACCTCTCCCTGAGGATACTCACTGGTGCCAGATTGAGAACACTGGTTCCTCTCAGTTCAATATAAAGGCAGGTGCTATGAAGCATGGGCTCTAGCAGATGTCTGAGGAGGTCCTGCGTGTCCCAAGATCAGTGGGCTTTGATCCAGGTGAAGCTGAGCCCTGAACCCCACCTTTCCTTCCCCCTACTTGTTCATGCATTCAGATCAGAATGGCTTCCAGGTTTGTTCTCTTCATACATGCTAAGCAAGCAAGTGTCCTACCACCAACTCCACCTAGAGCCCTAGATTTGCATTTCTAATATTAAAGAAAGATTTCTTTATATGTATGATTGTTTTGCCTACATGAATATATGTGTTCCATATGTGTGCCTCATGCCCAAGGAGGTCCTGGTTAGAGAAGGCATTTGAACCCTGGAAGTAGAGTGATAGATAAGGTTGTAAGCCACCTTGTGAATACTGGGAATTGAATCTGGATCCTCTGCAAAGGCAACAAGAGTTCTTAACCACTGAGCCATCTCTCCAGACTCTAGGTTTGCTTTTGTTTTTGTTGTTTGTTTTGTTTTGTTTGTTTATCGAGACAGAGTTTCCCTGGATAACCAGCTCTGGCTGTCCTGGGAACTTGCTTTGGAGACTAAGCTGGCCTTGAACTCAGAGATCTACCTGCGCCTGCCTCCTAAAAGCATGTACCACCAACCACCTGGCTAGGTTTGCATTTTAAATGACATTTGTTCAGTAAGTAAGATTTGGCGTGGGGCTGGATGTACCTTTCATCCAGCTTTGTGTAGTGACAGAGTTACAGGAGTGTGAGTGTGAAGGACCTGATACCAGCAATCTCTTCCCGGCTTCCCTAGACATCAGTCAGGCTCACCCCTCGTGAGGAATGCTACCTGTTTACCCTGTTTACCCCAGTGCCTGATTCTGGGGGAAGAAGACAGCTGGGTGTCAGTTTCCTGTCCAGTTAAGCTGCAGACAAGACACTGCTGACCTTCCTGACACCACAACTTCTTGACAGCTCCAAATTCTGACTTCCTTGTTGCCTTCCTGGGGGAGTCCCTGGCTTCCTCCTGCTCTTCTTGGGGAGTCCCCATCTTCCTCCTGATCTTCTTGTGGGGGGTCCCCATCTTCTTCCCAGCCTTCCTGTGGAGCCCACAGTAATGGAAGCAGGGTGCAGCTGGCTCGGGCTCCTGAAGCCTATCTACTGGGATCCAGCATCTGGTGTGCGCTATTTCCAGCCTTTGTCAGGAAAACTTGTGACAACTTAGTGTTTCCAGATCTGAAAGAGACCAAAGATAATCACATGGCTTGTCATCCTTCCTGAACCCAGCGTGCTTCTCCCCATCACATCCCCCTTCTGCTGTCAATATGTGTTTGTCCCACCCCCTACAGTGTGTCCCTCCTGTTACACTACAGGCTGCACTTGGCTTCTCTCTCTCTCTCTCTCTCTCTCTCTCTCTCTCTCTCTCTCTCTCTCTCAGACAGGGATTCTCTATATTGCTTTGGAGACTGTCCTGGAACTAGCTCTGTAGACCAGGCTGGTCTCAACTCACAGAGATCTGCCTGCCTCTGCCTCCTGTTGGGTTCGAAAGCATGTGCTACCACTGATGCCACTCCCAGCATCTGCCCAGCTCCTGGACCAATTTCAGAGAGAAACCTATTATGATCATAATACTGCTTGCTAATTAATATGAATTGAGGGCCCAGTTTGTGCTAAGCCCTGCCCGTCATGAATATTTGACATGTGCTCATTCTACAGTAATGGAGTCCTAACGAACAATGAAAGATCCAAGGTTCAGAGGGGCTAAGTAACATGCCCAAGTAACTCAAATGCTAATAGGTAACGGTGCCAGGGTAGAAATCCAATCTTCTCTGGAAGCTCTTTCAATCAATGGAGCTACAGGGACCATCTCTTAATGTTCTTATATAGACACCGGCTGACTCTTCACCCCCTCCAGGCCCTCCTGTATCTTACAGCGTGTGACAGCCTCCTTGACTTGGTAAAAGCCACCATCCCGGCCTCTGCCATCCACATAGTACATGAATCGGAGTTCCGGCGGATAAGCGGCTCTGGTCAGGCCGGATAGCAGGGGTATGGTGCAACCCTCTGCCCCCGGGGCCTCTGTCAGGGCCTGCAGCATCTGGTACTTGCACCAGGGGTCCCGAAGGAAGCCTGGTGTGATGAGTAGCACGCGGCAGTGACTACTACTCAGTGCCTGGCATAGCTCAGAAACAATGGCGCCACCTGGGGTTGCATCTCGAAGCTGCAGGAAACAGCGTAGGCTGGCCTGGCTACTCTCCAAGTAGGAAACCAGTTCCTGGGCGGCCTCTAGGTCCTCCTCACTGTGGCACACACAGACGTCATAGTCTTTGCTCCAGCGACCACTGCTGCAGCTGGTGTCCATCTGTGTTGGTTGCAGGGTAGGAGACATTCCTGAACTGCCGCTCGGGTGTGAGTTGCAGCTAGGGGGTGAGCTGCGGCTGGTGGGTGAACTGGGCCTAGTGGGTGAGCTGCAGCTCTGGGGTGAAAGACCGTCCTGTGTGGCTGTTTGTGAACCTTCACTGGGGTGGCTTTCACTGGAGACCATTATCTTCTTGGGCTTCTTCAAAAGAGCCTGTCTGAACCAGTCTACAGGGGAGAAACATATAGCTGAGACTTGCTGCTTGCAAGCTGAAGCCCCTTCCACCCTCTGTCCTAATGCCTGGCAGTTAGGCACACCCCCATCAGGGCTTGCCTAAGAGTAGAGTTCCTGCTATGTTCAAAGGTTCCCCAATACTGAGAGAACTCGAATCCTGTCCTAGGGTTTTACAAGCCCAACTAAGAAAGGCGGCCTTAATGGGGTCACCATGGTGAGATAGGGTTTGTTGTCTTAGCCAGGAGGCTAAGACAGTGAGGGGTTAGTAGTTCAAGGCCAGGATGGAAAAAACAGTGAGCGCTCTCTCTCTCTCCCCACCCCCCCCCCCCCAGAGTTTCTCTTTGTAACAGCTAACAGCTCTGGCTAAACTGGAACTCACTTTGTAGACCTGGCTGGTCTTGAACTCACTTGAGATCCACCTGCCTCTGCCTCCCAAGTGCTGGGATTAAAGGCAGTGTGGCACCACCGCCTGGTTTGAGATCTTAAAAATAAAGTAAAATTCGCTGTTCATGGTGGCCAGTGCTTTTAATCCTAGCACCTGGGAGGCAGAGACAGGTATATCTCTGAGTATGAGGCCAGCCTGGTCTACAAGAGCTACATAGTGAGACTCTCTTTGAGAAATGAAGTAAAACTTTAAACTAGAATAAAACAATTTATTTAACTATAAAATAATAATTTAACTGAAATAAAATACATATGGCTTTGTTCTGTTGTCATTTGATATTTGCTTCCCAGAGCCCACTTTAATCAGAAGGCTCTGAAATCAGTCAACTGCCTATGTGAGTGGACAGATAAGGATTAATCAGGCCCAAGTCCTAGCTGCAGCTCTGAGAGGAGGTGAATTTAGATCACAGTAAAAATGGAAAGGGCCAGGGAAGATGGGTATGGTGTTATATGCCTGTAATCCCAGAATTTGGGATATAGGACCAGAATCAGGGTCAACCTAGACTACAATGGCAAGTTCAACACAGCCTGGGTTAACTTAAATGAGTAACTAAATAAGAAAAGGGGTCTGGGGGGCTGGAATCTGTTTGGTTGTTCAGAGGCCAAGGGCTATTAGTCAGAGCACCCAAGCAACACAGAGTTTGGTACTTCAGAAGCCACACTTTGGCCAGGCCCAGATTTGACTGTAGACCTGCCATACTGCTTGCTCTATGACCTTACGAAAACTGGCCTCGATCTCCATTTCCTCATCTATAAATGAATTTGTTTAGTTCTTGAAGGTAAACTGTAAGTACTCTATATTAAAACTCAGCTGTACTGGGGATTATTGCATTATTTCTTTCCCTGTTTCCTCTCTCTGAACACTTCTGGGAAAGGATTCAGATGATGAGACACACCATATTAAGCATTCATTCAGCACAATGGTTTTCAGGCCAAGCAGGTCAGAAAACATCTGAAACAAAGGCTTGCAGAACCCATCATGCATGCCTTATTCCTCCCTCTCCATGAAGCTCTGTCCCCATCACCAGCTTTCTGCATCTCTCCTCTTAGGAACCAGAGCATAATTAGGAGACTGGTTCCACTCACCAGCTATCTTGTCTCGAGGCTTCTTGGATTGAGTGGGAGAGGCTGGGATGGAGGAGGATGAAGCCATAGTGCAGGCCTCCAAATTAACCCTGGGAGAGCAGGCATTGGGGGAGCAGCAGGAGGGGAGAGCACCATGGAACGGCCATCCTGCAAGAGACAGAGAATCACAACAGTTGCGCTTACTTACCTGGAAGTTCTGCTTTCGGGACTAGTCCCTAGTGACTCAGTCTCTAACCAGGGAAATGAGCCAGAGCTGTGAAGTGTGACCAGACTTACAAGGTAGGAACTTGGTAGAGTGACTGCTCTCTGCTTCACTTGGCCAGGAGTGCATCTGGGATCTGGGAAAACACAGAGAGGACAGGCAGCCCTTTAGAAGGACTTCCTAGGTCGATGCTGAAATGGGAGAGGGACTGGCCCTTTGGACAGGTAGATGAGTATTAAACAGTAGGAATACTTGAAGCAAGTCTTGCTGTATTTCTCCTGTCTGTCTTCCCCAACCCCATCCATCCACTCACCTAGCCCTTATGTGTCAGCTAGGGAAGCAATACCATAAAATGGCGAGGACTGCAGACTACATGTAGATTGCATGGATTCACACCTCATGCTGACCATGAACTTCAACAGTTTTTCTAGGCTTCGGGGCCTCCAAATGTGATGCTAGAAACTGCAACTCAGCATTACCACGTGCATAATATGAAGTAACTTGTGTAATGTACTAACACTGCCTTATGTATAAAAACTGTTAAGAAAGTACTGTGGATTAGTATGTTCTTACCCAGGTGTGGTAGCATACACCTGTGGTCTCAGGTACACAGGAAGCTGAGGCAGGTGGATTATTTGTATCTATGAGTTTAGATCAGCTTCAGAAATCTACTTAGACCCTATCCTTTCTTGTTGTTTTCCCTCCCAAGACAATATTTCTAACAGCTCTGACTGTCCTGGAACTCACTTAGTAGAGCAGGGTGGCCTCAAACTCAGAGATCCACCTGCCTCTGCCTCCCCAGGGTTGGGATTACAAGTGTTCACCACCATCCATCTTGAGACCCTGTTTTAAAAGAAAACAAGCTGGGTGGTGCCCCATGCTCTTAATCTCAGCAGAGGTTTAATCTTGGGAGGCAGAGGCAGGTAGATCTCTTTGAGTTTGAGGCCAGCCTGATCTACAGACCAGGACAGGCTCCAAAGCTACACAGAGACTCTGTGGGGACAGAGCCTGTTTCAATGCAGGGGAGCCTTAGCATTCCAGAGGCAATTCTCCAGCCGAAGGACTAGTAGAAAGCTGGGTTCAGGAGCTATGAGTAAGGAACGCAGGGCTGCTGTCTGACTTTTTGCTGAATCTGTAGAAGTCATAATGAAAGTTCACTCTGGGAATTCATAGAGAAAATAAATCTGATGATTAGATACACTGTAATGGGAAGCTTCAACATTTTTAAAATGTACATCTTTTCTGGCGATGGTAGTACACACCCTTAATCCTAGCACTTGGGAGGCAGAGGGAGGCAAATCTCTGGTTCAAGGTCAGCTCTGGTCTACAAAGCAAGTTCTAGGATACCCAGGGCTATGCAGAGAAACCCTATCTCAAAAAAAAATTATTGGACTTACACTGTTCAAAAAAATATACTCTGCTGCAGCAACGGAGGCCATGTGGTGACTGATCTTAACTGCTGGCCTGGTGAGAGTGAGAAATGCCTAGAGACTGGTAAGGCACTCCCATGAGGGTATTTGTGAGGGTACTCCCTGAAATGATTAGAACACAGAGCACTGATGTAATGGATACATCAATCCCTTGAAGGATTCATAATTTGATGGCAGTTGGGGAAAGCAGGTCACTGGAGGTGTCTCCTTGCTGGCTAAATCTCGCCCTGTCCCCTTTCTGTATACTCTCTGCTTCACAGCCACCGTGACCCAAACTGCTCTGTTCCCCCACACCATCCCCCAATGATGAGGTGAACCCTCTGAAACCATGAGCTTTATACAGCTCTCCTCCTGTAAGTAATTCTCAAGGTCTCTGTCTGACAAACAGAGAACAAAAAGGAGGGGGATGAGCGCTGGAGTTGGACAGAGGAAAGCAGTCAGACCATGCAGGAGGACACTCTTGGACTGTTTGTATCTACAGAAGCTTCATTCCTTCCTCGTGCTCTCTAGGTTCCTAACAAGCCAAGTGAGAGGTGGCCTGTTCCCGGTCAGGGGCTGCTAACTCTACACCTTCAGGAAACCAGTCAAGATAGCTCTTGCAGGTGCTGGAGAGATGGCTTGGTGCTCAAGAAGGCTTGCTGCTTCTTCAAGACAAACCCAGTTTGGTTCCCAGCTCCCATATGGGTCACAGCTGCCTGCAACTCTAGCTGTCCCCAAGGGTACCTCCCACACATGGCATACACTCACACACACACATACGCACATAAACAAAAACAAAATAAGTCTTAACAGTAATAAATAATGATATCTTTTCCCCTGGCAGCACACATCAGATCACTTTGATACTCTCTAAAGATTTTCTCAATTTTTGTTTTAATAGAAAATGTATTATTTGCCCTTGATACAAACTGGATAATCACTTAAATTTCAAAAATGATATTCCAAAGTTTAAGACAACGTAAAAATAGGTTGGAAACAAAAAAATCACATAATATGATATTCAGCTTGAATATATATATGTAAAAGTTTTATGAAACAGACCTGGGGGTGTAGCTGAGGGATAGGCCTGCATCGACCCTTAGTACTAAAAGGAAAAAGAGGGGAAGGAGGAGAAAGAAGGGGAGTACGAGGAAGTAAGTGAGGTTTTTTGTTGCTTCAGAAAGAAAGAAAACAAACAAACAAACAAAAGTAGGGCTGGAGATGTAGCACTGACATAAAGTGCTTGCTTAGCATGCACAGATGAGCCTAGCACTGTGAAGATAAAGGGAAGAAGTGCGAGAGAGAGGAAGAGAATAAAGAGGAGCAGTGGGAAAATTAAGTCAATTGTTCAATAGTGTATCCACTGGAAGCGGGGGGGGGGGGGGTTGGGTGGGATATGTCTTTTAACTGTCATTATGGAAAGTGCGAGCATAGGAAATAACAACATCTCTGACAGGATAATTATGCAAGATGGCAGGTAAGTTCCAGTAACCATGTACTTCCGGGATAAAACCTCATGAACCTTCCTTTTTCACTGTAAGTTCTTTTGCAGCCAAGGCTGGGGAGCAGTCAGACATGACTTAACTTTCCCAAGATGCAGGGTGACAGTCGTCACATAGCAAGCCACACATGTCAAGCAGATAAGATAGTGAATCCAAACCTCCAGCTGGAAGGTCTAATCACTAGCTCTGTCTAGTCTCTGACTCACTGGGGCCCACAAGACGCCATGTTCTCTTTTCTAAACACATAAAACAGAATGACATGTACCCCAAAGACCCACTTTGTAGAGAATGACATAGATTTCATGGAAAATTAGCAAGAAGCTCCATCAAAAAAGAACCAGCACAAGAATTGGGCAGGGTGGTACATGCCTATAATCCCATTACAGATTTAGGAAGCTGAGGCAAGAGGATCACTTCTAATTCAAGGTCAGCCTGGGCTACATAGTGAATTCCAGGCTAGCTTGGGCTGTATATTGAAACCCCTCTTCAACAAAACAAAACAGATAAACACACACGTGCAGGCATGGGAACACACACACACACACACACACACACACACACACACACACACACACAACACCCCACTAGGAAAAGCAAAACAAAATACGAAGATATTCTTGGAGACTCTTGTTGGCTTGTTCAGAAGTAAAGCCTAAGTTTTATGAGTTTTCTAGAAAATTCTGATACACATGGTCAGGCTGGAGAGGTGGCTCTGAGTTTAAAAGCACTGGCTGTCTTCCAAAGGACCTGGATTTAACTCCCAGCACTTACATGGCAGCTAACAGCTGTCTATAATCCCGGTTTTAGGGGATTTGACACCTTCTATAACAATACAAATAAATAAATAATTTTGGGATGGAGAAATGGCTCAGAGGTTAAGAGCACTGGCTGTTCTTCCAGAGGTCCTGAGTTCAATTCCCAGCAACCACATGATGGCTTATAACCATCTATAATGAGATCTGGTGCCCTCTTCTTGTGTGCAGACAAAACACTGTATACATAATAAATAATAAATCTGTTAAAAAAAGAAAATTCTGATACATGGAAGCATTAGTCTAAATGTTAAACTATGTATTTATATATACTTAATGTAATATTTTATGTGTATATACATATATAATATGCATACATAAATGTAAAATACTATATATATAATATATATATATATGAATGACAGATTCTTGCTATGCAGTCTATGGTGGTTTTTAATTTGCAGTCATAGAACTGGAGAGATAGCTCCAGGATTAAGAAGAGCACTGGCTGCTCTTCCAGACCTGGTTTGATTTCTAGCACCCACATAGTAGCTCACAACCATCTATAACTCCAGTTCCAGGGGATCCAAGACCCTCTTCTAGACTCTTCCAGTACACAAGTGGTACACAGACATACATGCAGCCAAACACCCATATACACAAAATAAAAGACTGATAAATTTTAAAAACCATAAAAATAAAATTTGGATCCTGTCTCAGCCTCCCAGGTGCTACAGCTATCAGTACGTGTCAGCACATCAGGTCTTACTTATTATAGAGCAGTGAAAGGCTGGAAATGTAACTAGAGAGTGGTACAGTACTTACCTGGCATGCATGAAGACTTAGGTCCAATCCCAAGTACAAAAAACAAACAACAACAAAAAACACCCAAAATTTGATAACAGTGGTGTATACTTATAATCCCAGCACTAGAAAAGCTGAAGTAGGAAGATCATGAGTTTGAGGTTAGCTTGAGCTACATAGAGATTTTGAGGCAATTTGGATACATACTGAGATCCTATCTCAAAAAAAGGGGTGAGAGGGGAGGTCTGCAAAGTGAGTTCCAGGACAGCCAAGACTGTTACATGGAGAAACCCTGTCTCAAACAACAACAAGAAGATGGCATATTGGTAAAACCTTCTGCACAGACCTGGTGACCTGAGTTCTATCCTCAGAATCCACATAAAGAGAGAATTGACTCTGCAAAGTTGTTCTCTGGCCTACACACACACACACACACACACACACACACACACACACACACACAGAGGTATGTGCACACACACCCCATCTCTCTCTCTCTCTCTCTCTCTCACACACACACACACACTCATACACACACAACAATTCTCACACATCTTCTAATTTTATAAGCAAATAAATTGCTGAAGTTAAGGTAGGGTCTCTCTTTTTTTTTTCTCTAGACAGGGTTTTTCTGTGTAACAGCCCTGGCCATTCTGGAACTTGTTCTGTAGACCAGGGTGGCCTTGAACTCAAGAGACCCACCTGCCTCTGCCTCCTGAGTGCTGGGATTAAAGGCACTTGCCACCACAGCCCAGCTTAAGGTATTGTGTTTTATAGCACAGTCTGCCTTCAACTGTAGCTTAGTGACTCTGAACTCCAGATCTCCCTGCCTCCACATTCCATGTGGTTCTATTACATGCATGCACCTCCTTTTCTGGCTAGCACTGAATAAATTAAAAGTGCCCACCAAATTTTGTGATTCTTTCTGTGAAATAAACTCCAAACTCCATACTATAATTTGTATGGCTCTGAAGAATAAAAATGTCAAAAAGTATGTGTCAATGTGAATAAAAGCACCCACTATTTTAACCTTAAGTATAAATTTAAAGGTTTTTCTGGGTATTATGACATGTGCCTGTAATCCCAACATTTGGAAGATTGTAGAGGAAGGATTGTGAATTCCTCAAAGGCAGTAAAATATAAACACTTAGCTGTATTTTAGTCATATAGAAACATATTCTACCACCCAAATAGGAGTCATAGCATATGTAATATTGCCATATTTTTCAAACTGGTTCTTGGTATGCTTCAGTTTCTTAATTCAAAAACCCTGCTTTTGTTCTGCAAATACATCATGTATGTGTTATATATATATATATATACATACACACACACACACATTGTAGATTTTGTGTAAACACAGGCACTTAACATAGATTGTGTCAGCAGCATTCAGGAAGCAGAGGCAGAGGAGGCAGGAAGATCTCTGTGTGTTTTGTATGTTAAGGCCAACGTGGTCTACATAGTAAGTTCCAGACTAGTCGGGGCTGCATAGTGGAAACTCAGTCTTAAAAAACCAACCCAACTGGGTGGTGGTGGTATACACCTTTGATCCCAGCCAGCACTCAGGAGGCAGAGGCAGGCAGACCTCTGAGTTCCAGGACAATCAGTGCTACAGAGAGAAACTGTCCCTAAAAACAAAACAAACATACAAATTAAAACATGTCTTCGGACATTAGTTACCCCCCCACACACACACACTCTCTAAGTAGTGCTGGAGATATGGAATCCAGCATGCTGCGTACTCTCCCACTAAGCTACATCTCAAATCCCCAGATGAGTACTTTTAGTACATTTTCAAAAGGCCCTGTAGGTAAAGGTTGTGAAAAGTTCCTAAGATCTTAAAGACAACTGCTGACCACTGGATTTCTAGAGTCTAGGAAGGGATTCACTGTAAAGCAACAGCAGGCAAGGCAGAATGACTGGAGGGGTAAGGGAAACAGGCAATGTAAAAACCAGTGTGTCACTAAATAAACCTGTGTCTCAATAATGTCCTCCCTTACCACAATGGTGACACTGAGGTTGGGTAGAGAAAGATAGTGGGCTTCTCTCCTCTTCCTCCTTATTTTGAGTTAGGGCTTGCTTGACTAACCCAGGCTAGCTTTCAACTTGTAGCTGAGGATGACACTGAGCTTCTGATCCTCCAGTCTCCTCTTCTAAGTGCAAGGATTATTGGCAAGGGATACCAAGCCCAGTTTTATGCACAGGCTTTGTGCATATTAAGGGAGAATTCTACTAATTGAACTACACCACCAGCTCCCCAAAAGGTGCTCTTTGCAACCCACAGTATTAGGTCTACTTAGATAGTATTGTGGGGAATATTAATCTCTACCCAAACCCATCTCAAGACACACAAACTCAATTTCAATGGATATTAGAGACAGCTGTGATTAGCAAGACAATAAAGATCTTACAGAAAAACATGTAACATGATTTCTTTGGAGTAGACAAAGGGAAACAAAAAAAAAAGTTGACACGTGGTCTCACTTTGTAAAGGCTAGCCTAGAACTCGGTATGTAGGGCAGGCTGGTCTCGAACTCATAGCAATCCTCCTGTGTCCTGAGAGTACAGGTGTGTCTGGCTTTTTTAAAAAATTCAAATGTAATGCAGTCTGTATAAGGGGAAAATGATAAATTGGAAGACATTAATGTGAAGACTTTTCCCCCCAAAGCTATCATTAGGAGAGTGAGAAAGGAATCTACTTAAACAGAGGAAATGTTTAAAAATATGTATCTAGCTGGGCAGTAGTGGTGCATGCCTTTAATTCTAGCACTAGGGAGGCAGAAGCAAGTGGATCTCTGTGAATATGAGGCCAGCCTGTCTACAAAGGGAGTTCCAGGACAGCCAGGACTGTTACAGACAGGAAACTATCTAAAAAAAAAAAAAAAAAAAAAAAAAAAAGTATCTAACAAGTGCCTGAAGTCCCAGATATTTCAAGAACTCACATTCACATTCACATAAACTGCTAAGAGGCACAAATGAGGAGAAGACTTGAACAGCCATTCCACAGAAAAGATATTCAAATGACCAGCAGGCAGAAAGATACTCGGTTTACCAGTCCTCAGAGAAATGCAAATTGAAACTTCAGGGAATCAAAGCCCTGCAGTCAGCAGAAACAGCTACAGGGAGGTCACTAGCTGGAGCTTTTAAGGACAGAAGAGTGGGCACACACACACTGCTGCTGGGAGTGTGGGTTAACCCAGGCTGGCCTTGAACTTACCTCCTCTCATTTCCACCACTGACAGCTGAGGTTACAGGTGTCTGCTGTGGTACCCAGAAAGCACAACTTTTGTTTTTTAACTTAAAAAAAAAAAAGTTTGTGTCTGGATGTGACGCCTGTATGTATGTCTATGTATCAGTTTCATGCCAAGTGCCTGCAGAGACCAGAAGAAGGTATCCGATCATTTGGAATTGGGGTTATAGATGCTTGAGAGCCACCATGAGGGTGCTGGGGATCGAACCACCGTCCTCTGGAAGAGCACACAGTGCTCTTGACCACTGAGCCCCAAGCACAACTATTTTGGAAAGTTGCTGCACAGTATATAATCAAAGCGAGAAAAACACACAAAAGTCACACTACTCAAAATAGGCCAAAGATGAAAACAAGCATGTCCATTAGGCTGTGTTCAGTAAAATGGATCAACTATACACAGTCCATCTTTTTTGACAGAATATTATACATCAACCAGCATACATAGACTTACCGTTCTGGATGCAAGTTACACAGGCAAGCCTGTAAAAACCTGTTTGGCTGAACTCAGGATCTGTGCACTTTTCCATATAACTGTTACAGGTTGTCTCTTGAAGTCTAAAAACAAAGCAGGCAAGTTTCCTCTGAGTCATTCATGGGTAGGTCTGTCAGCTGGAGCACTCACCACTTCCCTCTCTAGTTGGCACTTCTCGGGTTTCTAGATTACCTGCCACCCAGTGGACCGAACTGTTCCTACTCCCCGCGTCCCTAGTTCCTGGTAGAAGCCCATTAAGTGACTGTGACAGCAACGCCCAGGAGGTTCTTAGCCCTAAACAAGGTGACATTCTTACAGAACGCTGCCAGAGTCAAGCCCAACAGCAGGAGGTCAGATTGTGGCCAGCGCTGAAATGCCAGGAGCCGGAGAGAGTTACCTGACACAGCCAGGCTGCTGAAGCCCAGCTGTACTAACAGCCCCGCGCCGGCTTCGGTGCCACAGGAAGGTGGCGGCTTTCCGGGGAGTGCTGGACCGCGGGTTAGAAGGGGCGGGGCAGGGACTCGGTGTCCCGGGAAAGAAAGGGCTGACTCCCAAGATCCGACCGCCCCGCATCCCCACCACCCGCTCACCAGCCCGATCCCGTGCTGCGGCTGCAGCCTCGGCCGGCCGGGAAGTGCGAGTGCCCGCGCCCCGGTCCCGGAAGCTTCTCGGCCGCCGCCCTCCTGCCCGCGCCGGCCCTCTCGCCCCTAGGGGGCGCCCGCCCGCCGGCCGGCCGCATCTCCAAGGCTTCGCTGCTGTCGGGTCGCCAACCCGCAGCTGAACCCTTTTGCCACAGCTCCCCAGACTAGCCTGGTTTGCCTCATCTGAGGGCAAGGGAACGTGGAGAAAACTCCTCCAGCAAGGGAGGCGCAGGAAAATGAGGCATTTCCCCGAAGGTCTCTCAAGGTAGGTTAAATGGTACAAAGAAGACAGGCCAGCCTCCGGGAGGTGGGTACCTTTAGGGAAGGTGGGTCCCATTAATGTTGACGCCCACAGGCTGGAATCAGTCTTGGCAAAAGTGTTTGCCCTCAGAGCAGGAATTTCCGGGTGGACATTCAATTGCAGTTCGGAGGTACCAAAATTACTGCAAAAAAAAAAAAAAAAAAAAAAAAAAAAAAAAAGGTGGTTAGGCAAGATGTTGACAAGTCCTGATGAAGTTCTTAAGTCCTTTGTCCGCAATTCCTAGAGTTCTTGCTGTAAGCTTTGTGACGCTCCAAGGGATTAAATAATACAGCACCCCCCCCCCCATAGAAACGTTATTAAAATGTCAATCCGAGGCTGGGCATTGGTGGTGCACGCGTTTAATCCCAGCGCTGGGGAGGTAGAGACTGGTGGATCTCTGAGTTCCAGGACCACCAGGATTGTTACACAAAGAAACCCTGTCTCACCACCATTGCCTGGTTTAAAACTCTGTTTCAAAAAACAAACAAATCCAACCTGAAAACAATGCACATGAAATGCTGGCAGGTGGAAGGAATTTAATAAGGCCTTATCTCCCCTCTAGTCTGGTTTCTTTTTCTTTCCAAACAATTATTACACGAATAATAAAAGATCCACAGACAGATATGGGGGTACAAGTTTCAAGCTGAAGATCAGAAACACAGAGCAGCCAAGCCACTAGCTCTTACTTCTACCTTAGAAAGAAACGGGTGATCCTGTCTCCATGAATCCTCAGAGTACAATGTAGACTGCACTGCTCTCCACCAAGCCACAAGAGTGCAATCCTCTGAGTTCCTGTTTCCTCCTGCCTTTTATTTCTTTCTCCACCCACCCATATCACTCCTGTTTCCACCTCCCTAGTGCTGGGATTAAAGGCATGTGATCCCAAGTGCTGAGGTCACCTTTGTGTGAGTTGTTTCCCTTTTAGACTGAATCAGTTTCCTGTAGTTCAGTGTGGCCTTGAGCTAACAGAGATCTGTCTGTTGGAGTCCTGGGATTAAAGGTGTTTGTCAACACCTCCCGGCCTATATGGCTAGCTAGTGGGGTGCAGGGCTTAAAAGTGTGTATCGTGCCTAGCTCTATCTATGGTTGTGTCTCACTTTGCATTTTGATCTCCAGTGGCTTTATTAAATCATAAATAATATATCATCACAGACAGCTTTGAGGAGTTGGTTCTCTTCTACCTTCTTGAGGCAGGACCTCTTGTTTCTGCCATGTCGGCTGGCTGGCTCTTTAGCTTCCAAGCAATTCTCCTGAATCCACTTCCCTTCTTGACAGACTGAATCCTGGGATTACTGACATAAGCAACCATACCATACTGTTTGGGTTTTTGGATTGAAATTAAGTTGTCAGGTCCAAATGGCATTTTGAAATTCTTTTAAATTCTACCCTCACCAATCCTTCCCAGAAATCCCATTGCCTTGCTCCTACCTTTCATTGTAGTATAGACTCCCTGGGGCCAGTGGAGGAACTTTGGGGTCCAGCAGGAATGCATAGATGGACACTCAGACTACAGGACAAGCCCTGGGATGGCTGGGTTTGGGGCAAAGATGAGGACTTGGTTCAGCTCCTCACATAGTTTAAAGGGCAAGACAGATTTAATCACATGCCCACAAAGGCTTTCCCAGAGGATCAAATTAAAGTTCTGCAGGCGCAGAGGATCCCTTAGATGTTAATGATTATAGCTCCTATTTCTTTGGACCCTTAGACTATGATAGCTATACCAAAATTACTATGGGGTACCTAACAAGCTACTCTCTAGGGTTAACCAATTCTCTGGCCTGACTAGTCCTGTTAACGGCCAAAGCCTGCCATCCACTATGTTCCTGACAAGTTCCTTCTAGTATTTCAGCACTACCTGCTGATAACCTTTCCTTTGCTTATTGTCTCATGCCTGGTGCCCCCCCCCCAAGCCACACACAGACCTTACACTTCCAGGTGGCCCATCTCTCCTGTGTCCTCCCCTCCAAAGGACTTTTGATGCAGCCATTTTCCCAGGAAGCTCTACTCTAGTTCACACTGCATTCCCTGGTCACCACTGACCTGCTAGGTGCTGAGCCCAGCTGGTATGTGGCATTTCATTCTGGTGCCTACTTGTTTTTCATGATTCTACACTCCTGGGTTTTCTTCTGCCTCAAGGGTCACTTCAGCATTCATTGATTTTCTCTAAATGCCCCTGGGTCCCTCCAACTTTTGTGTGTTGTCCTTAACTCTTGGCTCTCCTTCGATGACACTGTTAACCCAGATTGCCCACGTTTAATCCAGTCACCCATTACACCTCCCACAGGTACTTTCAACATGTCCCACACCAGGCTAATGTTGATGTTCTTCCGTGTCATTTATGAAAGAAACATGGTACCCATTTGGCTGTTTATCCAGAAATCTAGGAAATACTGTCTCATTTCATGTTGTCACTGTCACTACATTGCTCCATGTGTTTCCCATCATGACTGTCACCTGCTATGTGGACTGCAACAGGCTCTGTCTAGAACCTGTTTCCTGCCTGACTTTCCCCAGGTCCCCTCTTGTGTTGGCGCTTAGGATCAAACTCAGAGCCATCCACATGCTAAGCACTCTGTCACCAGGCTGCATCCTTAGCCAGAGGGAGATTTTTTGTTTGTTTGAGACAGGGTTTCTCTTGTAGCTCTGGTTGTCCTAGAACTAGCTCTGTAGACCTACCTGGATGTCCTCAAACTCACAGAGCTCCTCCTGCCTCTGCTTCCTGAATGCTGGGATTAAAGGCATATGCCACCATCATCCTTAGCTAGAGGGAGATTTTTAAAAGGAAAATATGATCATGTTGCCTCCCTATTTAAAACTCTCCTGCCGAGATGAAATCCAAGCTTCTTAGAGTGACTCTTCACACCCCGATCCTCTTCTTTCCCTCCACAATCTAGCCAGAATGCCACTTTGAATCCTGGTATGGATTGAATGCTGGCAGCCAGAAGGTGGGGCTTTGTAAGATGACTAGATGAATGATCCCATTCCCTCTCTAGAACCATTGGTTCCTGTAGAACTCAGGGACAGAGGATTCTAGCTTGCAAACAGGATACCTCCCACAGGGGAGCTAAGAAACACGCCCAAGAGGATGAGGTTGCCTTGTTAATGGTGTGATACTTCAAAAGCTGCTACCATGAGAAGAGAAGCAGAAAGAACACAAGAGCAGAGGGAAGGTATTAATCGCATATATTGATTGGAGAATAGGTTTTCACATGAGTCAATAAATTTGGGCCAGGCAATCCTAGAATGCTGTGTGCCTGGGCTCTGACCAGAGAGTCAGAAAGGAGGAGGTCAGTTCTGGGTCCCATACTCAGGATGTCAGCAGAACTGTTTGGATGATAGCATCAGCCTGGGCTACAGTCAGTCCCAGGGTCCCATTTCATCACTTTCCATTGGCCTGGGTCTCTGTGCCTATGTCCATCCCATGTCCAGAGACACTGGGGAAGAGTGGCCTGGCTTAGAGGATGGTGAGGAAAGGGATGCAGCCCTGACACAGTCCTGAGGAGACTAGGGCAGTGACCACAGCCAATGTGAGGCAACACCTGGGCTGGTGAGGCCCAGAGAAGTTTCCATTCTTATAGGATATTGTACTCTTGTAACTTCTCTCCTAAGTAAAAGCGGGTGAAGAGGAAGGGGCTCATGTCGATGGTCTTGAACTGACCCTCTAGTATCATTTCTGCCACAGCTCGACCGATGCCAGGTGCATGCTGAAGTCCATGGCCACTGAAGCCGGTAGCAAAGTACATGTTGACAACTAGTGGGTGGGGGCCCACCACGCCATTCTGGTCAAAAGTGTTATAGTCATAATAGCCAGCCCAGGCATTCTGTACCTGTAGATACAAAAGGTGCTGAGGTTTTTAGCAAAGCCACAGACATGTTCAACACAGATCAGCTACTAAAGGTTCATGAGATGGGACAGATCCACAGATTCCTTAGTGATTGTTAGGTAGTGGGAACACAATAGGTCAAAGGGACTAAGATGCTCCAGTATCATCAATAAGGTTTCATTCCCAAGCCCCAAAGGAACAATTATTCCCTATTAGTTACCTTTAGAGTCTTAAAAGATGGCACCCTATGGACCAAATGGGGCCACACTTTGTTCTGGAAGAAATCATGGTCCACTTCTAGATTTGTTGGGTCTGGTTCTTCTTCCTAAGTGAGAGGTAGAGGCAAGGCTTATATACTGCTTGTAATATGAGGACAAACCCAGACCTGATTCCTATAAACCAATCCCTTCAGTGGATTTCAGTTCTAATCTCAATGACAACATAGGGCCCTCAAAAGGCTTGCCTCTTTAATGGTATCTTGTCTATGTTTCCTTGCAACTTAATTTACCTCAGTGGGGCTATAGCCACCTAGGTAGTTACTACCCAATCCTTCCCGTCGAAAATAGACTCCATTGATGTCTGCAACCAACGGTGTCTCCAGACCTGGTCCCTGGGGGCAGTGCCATAAATGCACATACCTGTTAAGACATTACAAGAATAACACCAACCCTCTGTCCAGATTACACACACAACCACACACAAACCCATCCTAAACTTTTGTATCATTTCTTTCTCATCTTTAGCTCCCTTAGGGTAGCTACCTTTTCCTTGGCTCCACAGGTAGCTTGGTGCCCTGCAGGGTGCCAGGCAGTCCCTTCCCAATACCAGCCAGCTCAGCAACTTGCCCAGACCAGGCTCCTGCGGCATTGATCACTACAGCACACTCCACTGGCTGATACTCCAGGCTATTGTTCATTTTTACCTATAGGCAACAGAGGATAAGAGGAAGGAGGCTGGGGTGTGTGTATGTGGGGTGGGGGGGGGGTACAGCAGATGACAGGACACAATGGACCCTGGGAGAAGGTTTATTTCCTCCTGAACCTAATGCTATCAGTACTGTGAAGTGGGCAGATGATCACTCTTCTTGCCCCTCTCCTAAATGAAGAAGCACACTGGACCTTGGGACTTACATGGACTTCATGGATCCTTCTCAAGACTACCTGTTCCCCAGTTGTGGTCTCCATTTGGCTAGATGAAGTGATGAAACCTGCAGCAAAGAAATTAAAAAATAAGCCCTCTAGGTTAGCTCAGTGGTAGAGCATATACTTAACATATACAAGACACTGGGTTTTATCCCCAGTGCTCCCATCAATACACACACACACACACACACACACACACACACACACACACACACACACACGCACGCACGCACGCACATAGGGTGGTGGTTTGATGAGAATGGCCCCCATAGGTTCATATATTTGCATACTTAGTCCCCAGTTGATAAACTGTTTGGGAAGGATTAGGTGGTGTGTGTTTGTTAGAGGAAGTGCGTCACTGGGGATAGGCACTGAGGTTTCAAAAGCCCACACTAGGCCCAGTGTCTCTCTCTGCCTGCTGCCTGTGAATCAGGATCTAGCTCTCAGCTGCTTCTCCAGCACCATGCCTGCCTGCCTGTTACCATGCTTTCCACTGTGTAGATAATGGACTAACCCTCTGAAGCTGTAAGCAAACCCTTAATTAAATCCTTTCTTTTATAACAGTAGCCTTTAATCCCAGGACTTGGGAGGCAGAGGTAGGTGGATCTCTGTGAGTTCGAGACCAGCCTGGTCTACAAGAGCTAGTTCCAGGACAGCCAGGACAGCCTCCTAAGCCACAGAGAAACCCTGTCTCAAAAAACAAACAAATACCCCCCCCCAAATAGAACAGTAATTAACACACACACACACACACACACACACACACACACACACACACACACACACACACACACACACACAAATCCTTGAAGGAAATGGGGATCACACTGATTCCTTTTGAGGAAGGGTCTGGAGTATCACAGACTGACCTCAGACTTGGTGTGTAGCGGAAGCTGACCCTGAACAACTTCTGATTCTCCTGCCTGTACCTCCAGAGTTCTGGGATTACAGGCATTTACCACTGTGCCCAGTTTCTGTGATGCTGGGGATATAACCTAGGAGCATGGATTGTAGGGTTCATGCTTACAGCTACATTCTTAGCTTCATGACCAACACTGGTTTCTCAAGGAAAGAAGATGGGAAGGATACTTGCTTCCCCATAGACACTCAAGTGAATAGACATCAAGAAACCAGAGTGAACTTGGCCACACAGGCACAGAGCAGTGTAGTGAGGAGGAAGCTGAGCTGTATAGCAGTAGCCCCTCTCACAGAAGACAGCCTCTTATACCATCCGTGGGTGAGACTGTGACAAAAGAGGCAAAGCCTGGTCTAGGTCTTGTCCTGGATGCAGGGCATAAGCTGAGGGAATGAGACTCTGAACTCACGTGTCACCTCTCCCTGGTAGAGTAAGACTCCCATTGATTGGACCTTTTGACGAAGACCCTGGAACAGAGACCAGGCATCAAACCAACCTTCATCTTCCATCCCTGACATAAGGAAAAAGAAAATTCATGAAGCACCAGGTTCCTTCTTTTCCTACTGTATAATTCACACACTCTTTTAGGCTTTAGAAACAGGGAAGGTCATCTTGACCAACTGTCCTGGAGTCTAGTCATGCTAAAGGCCAGAGAAGTAGCATGGACTGGGGCAGGCCCTGTTGCTAAGGAGGAAAGTGGTTCTTCTTCAGTGTGGAAAAGGCACCCTGATACTTCCAACCCAAGGAGCCCTTCAGTCCCTATATCAGGGAAGGAAAGCCCTGTACTCTGCAGGTGAACCTCACCATAAGAGGCCAGAGCCACTCCTTCTATGTTTATCCAAGGAAACTTGTTCTGTAGATGCTCAGGAGACATCAGACAGACTTTGGCTCCTTCCCGCCTAAGAGAAATAATATGTGCATCTCAGTTAATGTGTTAGGGAGTGTATATGGGGGAGGAACATGGACCCCAACTCCATGAAACAGAAGTCCAGCTCACTGATAGCCCTCTCAATACCAAATGACCCCATTTCGCCTGACTGCTGAATGTGAAGGCTCATTTTTCCTTCTCTACACTCCTGTCTCCCTTCAGAATTCTCAACTCCTTTCTACCCCAATCTACTCCACCTCCTTTCACAATATTGCAAGGAACCATATTCCATCTCCTGTAAAGCACTTTCTTCTCTACTGCCTAGCATAACCTTGTCCCTCAGAATGGATATCTCCTCTGGAACACTTACTGGCTGGGGAATGAAAGTGCTAAGAAACACTCCTATGAGCTTGTGTCTAGTCTAAACTGAGTCACAGTGCCAGCTTTACTAGATCTTCTTGTCTGAGTTTCTCCACATGTAAAGTGGTATGTTCTGATTAAATGAGTTAGCATCTGCAAACAGTTATCTGGTATCACTAGTGAGGTTTATAGCATATCACAAGAGACCTTGTGTATAATGCATCACAAAGATGCCCAACCCTTAACTGATGTAGGCCCACATGCTAAAGCCAACCTGCTACATACTTTTGTATATGGACCACACACCATTATTTGTATTTTTTGTCTGAGGCTGCTTTTGTGCTATAATGGCAATACAGACAGGTTGTGACACAGACAAAGCAACAAGCAAAACCTAAAATATTTTTATTAAAAGAATTCTGCTGAACCCTAAATTAGGATTCTTGTTAGAAGCCCAGTCCCCAGGCTACTCCCTAGAGATTCTGGTTTGTTAGGTTTGGGATGTGTCCTCCATGGGTGTTATGATCTGGTAAACATAGGAACCATATTCTGTCTGTGACTGGGTTATAGCACTCCTCAAGGTTCTTGAAGGTCTGAGTGGGCCCATCTTTCCTGATAATATGAGCTAGTGGAGAGGAGGTTCTGACATCACCTTCAGCTTCCCCATTTCTAACTTCAGGAATTCATCAAGTATGTCAAGTCAAGAAACAGCTCAGAGCAGTGCTATGCACCCACCTTTGCATTTTCACGTTGTTTTCCAAAGTGGCAGCATCCTTTTCTGAAGCTAGCAAGAGACAGCCTGAAGGGTTGAACTGGAGGTCCACAAGAGGGGCATCCACTACAGCTAGGTATTCCTGTGCACAAAGAAAAGCTGCTCTCCAAAGCAGCTGACATAAGGGGGAGCCTCCTGGCCTTCTCACTACACCTCCCAGGGTCCATGCCCCAGATCAGGATAAAACCTTCTCTAGGCACCAACACTGGAAGACAGTCAAGGATCACAGTGTCTTGCTGCCTCTAAAACACTACTTCCCCTTGGGTCCCCTTGCCAGCCAGGCTTCTGTTCTTTATATTAAAGAAGGGCTCCCCACCCCAACCCCTCAAATCTCACTGTACATACATTTATGTTCCGTAGAAAGTCGATTGAAAAGAGGGACAGTTGGACATTCTCAGGCACAGAAAACTGCTGCCAAATCCCGCCCACAGAAGGTCCTGTGGAGGAAGCCCGTGAATACTGTGAAAAGAAAAACTGAGGTAGACTATCATGATGTCATATGTACTGGAGTCCTGCAATGGAAGCTCTCAGTTACACATCTAAACTTAAAGGGGAATCCTTTCTCAAGGTGCAAGGATGTATAAACCTATATGCAAGTCAACCTACAGCTCAAAGATAAACACAGTGTTTTAAATTATCAGTGGCAGATGAACTGAGTAGAAGTCAATTGTTTCACAGGGCTGGACATAATAGAACAAACTAGTTATGGCCTGGAAGTTAACATGCAACAAATTTACAAAATAGTTTACAAAACTGGGAGAATATAATGAAGACAGACATGAGATCTGCAGCTAACTGCCAATGTCAAACAAGAACAACAAAGACCTCAGAAATAACAGACCCTAAAAGGAGGAAAAGGAAGCTGTTTACACTACTAAGTAGCTCAAACATAAGCTATTTAGGACAGAGACATTCAAACACTGAAGTACAATCATTATAAAATCTGCTTTTTAAAGCAGAAGTCTAGGCAAATATGCTAAAGCACACTTTTAATTCCAGCACTTGGAGGGCTGAGACAGGAAGATGCTGAGTTCAAGGCTGGCCTAGGCTATATAAATATTGGGATCCTGTGTCCAAAGAGATTAAATGAGCCTCCCCCTCCCCCAACAAAACAATGTTATTGTTAAGGGTCTTCTTTGAGGAAGTACCTGGGACTACTTCTCAAAGTTCAAAGCACAATCCCTACCCTTCGAATTTCTACAGGTTTTGTCCTCAATAAATGACTACCCTACTCCCTGACCTCACCGTGTGGTCTTGTTCAACCACCAGTACCCGAATGGCACCTCGTTGACTTTCCAGCTTCTTCAGCCAAAAGGCCACAGACAGACCAAGGATCCCACCTCCTATGATGACCACATCTGACTGTTTTGGGGGCAGGTAGCTGGTGTCGAATGGCATTCCCCATTGCTTTCCAGGTAGGATGCACTCAATCTTCTTCTTAAAGTCAGACACCTTTGCATCCCAATCTGCAGGACATAGTAACAGTTAGAGGGACTGTTTCCTTCCCACGTGGTGTGGGGTTGGAGGATGGGCACAGAAAAAAGTGGGCCGAATAGACATGTGGGTTGGCACATCCCCAATGTCACTTTCTCTAAGATCAACTCATACATAGTAGTATTGTAACCGCTTTGCTGTTTGGTCTTTGTCCCATCAGTCCCCACTATTATGAATCTCCTCTGGCATTGAAAGATTCGACTTCCTAAAATTACACTTTCTACTTCCCCGGACAAGATAGGTGAAGTACATATTTAACAACTGCAGACCACTTTCCTTCCTGACATTCAACTGCAGTGATCTCCACTCAGGTATCCCAGGCTCTGGGAACACGAGTTCCTAGCATACTCTACACCGCACAGCCTTCTAAAGCTAGTCACCTCTACATGGTCCCTTATCCTTAATACCCATCACCACCAGCGAGCTTCCATGTGTACGGAACTGTCCTCTGGGAAGTGGCTCCTTGGTGTCCATGTACCCGCCTTGGCTCTTTAACTTCTAGCAGGCAAGCCTATCCTTTTCCCCAGCTAACTCGCTGTCCCGCCAGCATGAGGCAGGATGTCAAACCTTGAAGGTCACATATGTGGAGGTTATGGGTACCCCAGAACCACTCTGTATAGCATACTCTCTGCTGCCCTCAGCTTTACCCAGAGTAAAGCCTCCTCTGCGTGTGCGTAGGCCCCGATTTGGGCGGCCCGGGGTCAAGCCAAGACGCAGCACTCTGCGAAACATGGCCTTACAGAGCCCGGCTTCTTTCAGCTTGAAGTGCCGCTCCACCCAACTCAGCCCTCCCAGTCATCGCCGCGCGCCACAGGGGACTGACGCCAATACGCCTTTTAGCCAGCACTGCCCGTCACACCGCTCCCCTTCACGCTATAGGGAGCCAGCTCCCTGCCACCCCGCCCACACCCGCTATTGGTCAGTCTTGCGTTTACGTCAGTCCCGCGCGCCCTGGGCGGGGAGGGGGCGGGACCCGGGCGGCTCGCAGCGGAAGTGCGGCTGAGCCGGTTTCCGGGGGCTGCTGGTGTGACGTGTCCCGCGCTTGGCGCAGCAGGAAGCGGCGGCGGACGCGGCCCTGGTTCCCGGTGCCGGCTTCGGCCCCAAGTCTTCTCCCGCTTCCGCCATGCTCGACTTCTTCACCATCTTCTCCAAGGGCGGGCTTGTGCTCTGGTGTTTCCAGGGCGTGAGCGACTCGTGCACCGGGCCCGTGAACGCGTTGATTCGTTCCGTACTGCTGCAGGTACCACCCCCGCGGGGGCAGAACTCCGGGCTGTCCCTCAGATCCAGTGTGTAGTTCCCCTTCCAGTTATCTCCCCGCGCCTTGCGCCCTGCCCTCCTCAAACTGACCGCATACTGGCCACCTAGACTCGATTTCCTCGCCTGGCATCACGATATCCCGAAACTTTACGACGCCACCCACACCTCCCGTGTCTGGGGCAGTAGCCGTATTCCGGCTTCTTATGGACTATTCCTCTTTCCTCTCACCCGGGGCAGCTTGGTTTTGTGTTGTTTTGAGGTGGGGTGAGACTGTGGATGAGAGAAGACCTTTTAGGAGCTTTAAATGGTTCACAGCTGCTAGAAGACCTGACTGTTTATCTTTTGACTCCCACGTGTTATGCCTCTCTCCCAGCTTTACCCTTTGCCCCAACTTGGTGTCTCTCTCTGTGGCGGGGTGCTAGAGAGAAATGTCTCTGTACTCCTTTGCTGAGGCCAGTATATTATCTGGTTATTGCCCAAACGTGGTTCAAAGTCTGGTTTTGCTGTGGATAGCCTGAACGGTGAAACACTCTTTTTTGCAGGAACGGGGAGGTAACAACTCCTTCACTCATGAGGCCCTCACACTCAAGTATAAACTGGACAACCAGTTTGAGCTGGTGTTTGTGGTAAGTAGATGTTATGCTCTCAACAAAATCCCCATTGATGAACCCAATTAACTGTATTGTGTATGTGATGAAGTAATAGATAAAATGATTTGGAATGTGGAGGGGAGAAAGCAAGCAACTTCTGGGCAAGATGGGAAGCTTGGCTACCTCTCAGGATGGGAAATCTATCTCTGGAGGCCTGGGTTGAGTTGGCCTCCTTCCATTCTGGGCTGACATATAAGGAGCTCTATTGGCCCTGTTTCCTTCTATAAACAGGTTGGCTTTCAGAAGATCCTCACACTGACCTATGTAGACAAATTGATAGATGATGTACACCGGCTGTTTCGGGATAAATACCGCACAGAGATCCAACAACAAAGTGCCTTAAGTCTATTGAATGGCACTTTTGATTTCCAGAATGACTTCCTGCGGCTCCTTCGGTGAGAGGCTTCCCCTCTTTAAAACCAATGTTCATGATCTAATGAGTGCCCTGCCTGCAGGTGGCTCAGCAGTCACATTTTGTAGTTCATTTCTGATACGTGGGACCTTTTTCTTGGAATCAGTTTCCCCCCCTCCCCCATAGTGGGTAGAAAGGCCAACCATTCTCTTTTCTCTTTAGTGAGGCAGAGGAGAGCAGTAAGATCCGTGCTCCCACTACCATGAAGAAATTTGAAGATTCTGAAAAAGCTAAGAAACCCGTGAGGTCCATGATTGAAACACGGGGTGAAAAGACCAAGGAAAAAACAAAAAACAACAAAAAAAAGGGGGCCAAAAAGGAAGGTGTGTTTGAGCTTCCTGAACATGTTAGGCATAAAAAGGTGTTAAGATGGTGCTATGAAGGTCTGTGGTGTTCTTTTTGTGATTGTTTGCCTCCCTCAATGTAATTGACCACCACCCTGTTTCCTTGTAGCCTTGTGGTCCAAGTTTGCTCTTAAGGATTTGAAAGAATTGTAGTCATTATCTGGATGGTTGGGACTTGTGGGTTTTTTTTTTTTTTTTTTCTCCAGTGAGGTTTCTCTTAACAGGTTCTGATGGCCCTTTGGCTACCACCAAAACAGCCCCCGTAGAAAAGTCAGGTCTCCCAGTGGGACCTGAAAATGGAGAACTTTCCAAAGAGGAGCTGATACGCAGGAAGAGAGAGGAGTTCATTCAGAAGCATGGGAAGGGTCTGGACAAATCGAGGTGAGCATTTGGTTAGTCAGTCTCTGGTGACTGTTCCCCAGCTGTGATAGAGGTCAGGGAACTGTCCTTTCTTATGTTCTTTCCTACTTTTCAACCATAGCTCCTTTCTCATGTGATCCTTTGCAGCAAGTCTACAAAGTCAGATACTCCAAAGGAGAAGGGCAAAAAGGCACCCCGGGTTTGGGAACTAGGTGGCTGTGCCAACAAGGAAGTCTTGGATTACAGTACTCCTACCACCAATGGAACTCCAGAGGCTGCTCTGTCTGAAGATATCAACTTGGTAAGAGGCATAAAGATCAAAGGTGACCATTAACGAGAACGATTTGGAGGGGTATACCTGGATTTGAGGGAGGAGTGAACTATATTTGGGGTTTCTTTGAGGTCTCAGACAATATTGACAGGGTATGGGACCTTTTCCTCAGCTATTAGTGTTCCCTGATCCCATCTCATTCCTTCCCCATGTCCTCCAGATTCGAGGAACTGGCCCTGGGGGTCAGCTTCAAGATCTGGATTGCAGCAGCTCAGATGACGAAGGGGTTACCCAAAACACCAAACCTAGGTAGGACTTCAGGTGGGAGATGGTATGGATGGCTGATGAGCCATTACCTCCTGTTTGCTGGCCTTACAAAAATTTGTGACCTTCTGTGCTTGTAGTGCTACCAAGGGAACTCTGGGTGGCATGTTTGGGATGCTGAAAGGCCTTGTGGGTTCCAAAAGCTTAAGTCGTGAAGACATGGAGTCTGTGCTAGACAAGATGCGTGATCATCTTATTGGTGAGTTTGGAGGATTGGGCTGACTTAGGTGGCATAGAGTTGATTATGGGTAGAACCATTTTCTAAGCTGTATTCTGAGAATTGATCACTACTAACACAGAGCTGTTGTCTCTTCTCAGCTAAGAATGTGGCTGCAGATATTGCTGTCCAGCTTTGTGAATCTGTTGCCAACAAGTTGGAAGGGAAAGTGATGGGGACATTCAGCAGTAAGTATCTGCACAAGTCATAAAGTGTACATGCATAGTCAGACCTCTTGGGTATGTGCCTTTTGGCAAACACCTTAATTTCTACACCTCTATGATAGAACAGCCTTTAGAACTTAATAGGTCAATTAAATGAGCCAATAAATTACTTAGAACAGTATGATCTGAATTCTTAGGGAAGAAAAACCTGCATGTCTTAGTTTCATATTAGATCAGAAAGATGTTGGATATCAAGTATGATACTTGGTTTTCTTACTGGGTCTCTCCATCTCTGTTTTAAGCCGTGACTTCCACAGTCAAGCAAGCTCTACAGGAGTCTCTGGTACAGATTCTGCAGCCACAGCGTCGCGTAGACATGCTTCGCGATATCATGGATGCCCAACGTCGCCAGCGCCCTTATGTTGTCACCTTCTGTGGTGTTAATGGTGTGGGGAAGTCTACTAACCTTGCCAAGGTCAGTTCAGATCCCCAGCCTGCTGCTTTTACTTTTTCATTCTGTGCTTTAGAGTACTGGTTCTATGTGACAGTTTCCTTTTTTGCAGATTTCCTTCTGGCTTTTAGAGAATGGCTTCAGTGTGCTCATCGCTGCCTGTGATACATTTCGGGCTGGGGCTGTTGAGCAGCTGCGTACACACACCCGGCGTCTGACTGCCCTCCATCCCCCTGAGAAGCATGGTGGTCGTACAATGGTGCAGTTGTTTGAAAAAGGCTATGGCAAGGATGCTGCTGGCATTGCCATGGAAGCCATTGCTTTTGGTACAGTGTATGGGTTTCAAGGGGCTTGTGTCTTCTTCTTTTTTTTTTTTTTTATTAATTCCCTGGGAATTTGCAGATTTAGATTACTATAAATTTACCACACGGTTACCAGAGAAGTCAGGGTAAGTTACTTGTGTGGGTGATGTTTTTGGGTGGTAATATATGTAGTTGAAGGGAAAAAAGCAAGTGAGTCTGAACCAGAGACCTGAATGTGGTCACCTTTATCCTACTTATATCCTTTCCCCGAACGGTTTTGGTGGTGGCCAAGAATAGGACAGGTTTTTTCTTACATTACCTTGTAATCAAATCCAGAGTCTGAAGTAAGTAAACAGGATAGGCTTTTCAAATAGCCAGACTGGAATGTCTCAAGAAGCTGGCAGTGAACAAGAGTGACAGTTGGGTGGCTTTTTACATAGCCAGAGTAGAAAATCTTTCAAGTTGGCAGTGAATATGAGTGACAGTTGTGTGCTTGGAGTTGACTATTTTTCTCTCTCTAGCACGTAATCAAGGCTTTGATGTGGTGCTGGTGGACACAGCTGGCCGCATGCAAGACAATGCCCCACTGATGACTGCCCTGGCCAAACTCATTACTGTCAATACACCTGACTTGGTGCTGTTTGTGGGGGAGGCCTTAGTAGGCAATGAAGCCGTGGATCAGCTGGTGAGGGCTTGGGCCTAGTTCGCTTCACAACTTAAACTTTGGGAAATTGGATGGGTTCTTATGTTACTTTTTCCCTTTTTAGGTCAAGTTCAACAGAGCCTTGGCTGACCATTCTATGGCTCAAACACCTCGGCTCATTGATGGTATTGTTCTTACCAAATTTGACACCATTGATGACAAGGTAAAGGTGGATGACACTAGATAAGACTGGAAGGAGGAATGGGCTTCTTTATAAAAGGAAGCTGAGGTGTTTAGTGTGATCAGGGCTTGAGTTGATTGGCCATCCTCTTTTTCTTCCTCAGGTGGGAGCTGCTATTTCTATGACATACATTACAAGCAAACCCATCGTCTTTGTGGGCACTGGCCAGACCTACTGTGACCTAC